CAGGTTATACAATAAGACAAGTTAGGGTTAGCGCACATTAGGTAGTTAGGAATACAAAAATCACATTAGCGAATCAAATTGGAGATCATTCGATGTCCAAAAATTTAACGGATAATTTTCCAGTACTTGATTTAATATATATGTAATTTAAAAATATATATTATGTTTAATTAATTTTCAGAATTGGTAAAAAAAAAAAGAAATTACAATATTGCCATTGATCCACAAGCACCTCCTACGGTGCTTGCTGGCATTCGTGTAGACTTCTTTGCCGCATGAGCAACACCCAACTGCTTGGGGGATGTTAACTCAGTTGTTAACAGATATAAAAGAGAAGAAAATTCATTGGAAGGGAGAGAAAATGAGAGAGAGGTTTAGAGAGAAAATATTAAACTTGAATTTCGGGTTTTCTACAAGTGTTCAAACGATTTGAGGTATACTTCTTGTTTAATTAGGATGTTGTGAATTCATTTATGTTATTAGTTTTTGATTTGGTTAGCCGTAGATGCATGAATTTGATGTTTAAATTTTCGGGTTTAAGGGTTTGATGAAATGGGTTTTGGTTTTCTGCATATTCTTAGTTAATTGATTGTGATGGTTGTATTCTTGGGTAGATTTGAGAGTGATTGGTGGTGAATTTGGTGATGAAAAAGTTTGTCATGGTGTGTGGTGATGGAACGGTGACTTGAGGGTTTGAAGAAAGAAAATTTTGATTTTGATAAAAACTTGTTTAACCTTTGAAAGGAGGCTTAGGTCTAGCTAATTTGAGGTCAAGGAATCCATTTCCGGCCTCAGAATTGGATTTAGAGCTCGTTTTGGTGGTGAAACAGGCATTTGCAGGTCTGCCCTTATGTTTAAAAAATAATTTTTTTGGCCAACTTTGACCAATAATTTGATGAAATTAGAGTTAAATTCGAGCATTGAGTCTAGGGAGGATTGAAACTAAGTTGTCCAAAGAGTATGTGGGTGTTGAAAAAAAAGAAAATGGTGTACTGTAGTGGGAGTACTACAAGGTCAAAGTAAGGTGGTTGAGCAGAAATTCTGTACTTACGGCAAAAGTCAAAATGATCAAAGGTTAAAGATGAAATGGGGAGGAGGACACCAGTGGACTATGACAAGTGTGGGTGTGTACAGTGTCCAATCGACCTCTGGTAGGTGCCGAAAGTTTTGCAACGTCCGTGCAAAACTCCTGATAAAATTTCAAGTTGATACAACAACCGAATCAAAAAGTTGAGTAAAATGGCTATTTTGACTTTTGGGGCCAATTTGACCAAATTTTTGGGTATTTTTGCCAAATAAATTAGTTAAATGGATTACATGGGTTGAATTTTATAGAAAAAAAAAATAACAATATTTAATTTTTGTCTATTCCAGATCAAAATATCAAGACAGGTAAGGTTTCTCAATTCCAAAATAGGCAATGTTTTTCCAATTTGTTTCTAAATTATTCCATATGTTATTTATAATTCTTGAGCATGTTTTAAAATATATGATTGGGGGTTTTATATATCGACTTGGATCCAGACCAGGATCAGGGTCTTTCAATGTGGTTCGCACAAATAGTTGTAATGATCATATTGATTATATTGTTTATATTGAATGACTCCGAAATCCTTTTGGAATTAAATGTAAGTGTGCAACGGTCGAGTAGCGAAGGGTTTATGTTCCATGTTGACGCCATAGAGGGTTTCTCATTGAGTTCATAAATCTCTGCGTGGCCCTATTAGTCTTCGGACTTGGATACCAAATTAGATCGTATTGACTTTAGAGCGTATCTTCCTTGTGGTGCAAGTCCCCTAAATTATCGGATCGTATATTCGTATGGATCGTATTTATCCTGATTAGTCTATTAGGATTATTGCTCACCGGTGTGGCATTGCACTTGATGATTCTGAAATCTCTTTTACTATACCATTTTGCTTAAATGCTACTGTTTTACATGAAATGACATGTTTCTCTTATATACGTATGAAATGCTCATTTTTCTTTTGCCCAATCTTGTCAAACTATGCTATTTTTTAAACTCGTTTACCTGGCATTGAGTTACTATGCTACGCTATTGATACTCACCCCGTATTATTTCTCTTTTTTCAGATTAGCAAGTGATGAAGAAGTTCATGATTGGTTAAACTACCAATTTTTCTTTGGTTATTATTGAGGGCTGAACATATGTGTTACGTTATAAACATCGAGTTCTATGACTATTTTTAGTAAGGAGTTATAACTGAATAGTGTATTACATCAGAAGCGTGTAAATTATAATAGGTTGGATGTCCATGTTTGAAATGTAAATGAAATTGGTATCAAAGTTTATTCATTATTTATAGACTTTGTTAATTAATAATAATGGAGGCTATTAGTGCTCTGAAATATTACAGAAATGGATGAGGATTTTACACCAATTCATATTCTTTGGTACCTCAAGTTTTGTCACCTTTTCGTTAGAGGAGACAAAGTATCGAGGACTGGCACTTGACACATGTGAGGTTATTTGGCTACGATCGATTCTTAGTGCGTTGGGATTTTCAGTGACTTTTCCATCCACATTGTATTGTGATAACTAATCTACTATTCAGCTTGCTTCTGAATCTGTATTACACGAGAGAACGAAGCATATAGAAATCGATGTTTACTTTCTTCGGGAGAAAGCCAACTATGGTATTGTCATCCCATCATTAGTGGAGACCAGTGATCAGGTTACAGATGTCTTTATCAAACCTGTCACTCCATCCATTCTCTGGAACTATATTGTCAAGATTGGATTAATTAACATTTTTACACCTAACTTGAGGGGGAGTGTTAGAATTATAGTCTACTGCATTAATTTTTCACCTTTTTCTTTTTATACCCTTACTATGACTTTTATATCTTACCCAAACCAAAAAGGGGTTCCAGTCAATTTCACTCTTATTTGGCTATATATACAAGGCTCTGCACTCAGTTTGTGTATCTCTTTGACTCTCAAACAATTCTAGTCCATACATCCATCTTAACATCCTCATTTCTATCATCCTTAACTTCTTCTAATATTGTTTTTTAATTGCTCGACATTCTGTATCACAAAGCATTGACGGTGCAATAGTTGTCTTGCAAAACATCTTTCAGCTAAAATAGTATATTTTGATTACATAACAATTATCTACTTAGTCTATTTTTTTATTCTATGATTAAAAAAATAGACTATCTTGTTATGCATTATTGACCTCATAACACTTGATATCTCTTGTTCTTCGGTCTTTAGTACCTCCCCATTTCAATGTTTGCTTCTACGAAAACTACATTTTGTTGATTTGGTTATGTCTAACAATCTTGAATCCTTTTGATTGTAAAACTTCTCCCCAAAGTTTTAGTTCTTTGTGATTTTCTATTTTACTTTCATCAATCAATACTATATCATCAACAAATAATAAACACCATATGACTTTATCCTAAATGTGTCCACTTAATTTAGACAAAACCAAGGTAAAAACACATGGACTTAAAAGAAAATAATAATGTGAGGTTACAATCATTAGGAATCTACCAGTCTCCTCCAAATTTGTTCTTACGATTGTCATTGCGTCGTCTTACATGTCCTTAATCATATTAATATGCCAAAGCCAAACTTCAATTCTAAAACCCACTGTTATTATATCCCTAGGGACTTTTTATCATAATCCTTCTCTATGTCTATAAAAATCATAAGGAGATTTTTCTTTTTATCATCCCTTTACAACTCTTCTAAATAAGTATATATTTCTTTCACTATTAAACTCTCTGGCACGAATCCAAATTAATTCTTCAATACTCTTTTTCCAAGTCTTACCCATTGTTTGCTCAACCCCTTCTAAATGCTTCGTGGGAGAGTTTGTCATGTATAGACTCTCCAACTTTAGCTACAAACCTGCAGCCATAGTTTCTTTGGCAACTTCTCAAAACACACCATCAATAAGGCACAATGTGATAGTACTATGTGCCTTTTCCAATAGCTCATCCTCTTCATCTTCTGACATCGTTGGTAAGGTGTCTTTCTCCTTCAAAGCTTTAAGCAATCCTTGTTGTACCAACAAGACGCACATCTTTGCACGCCACACGCTAAAATTATTTTTTCCATCAAACTTTGCTACCTCAAACTTTACTATCATTGCAAATTCTCAAATCAAAAATTCTGATAAAATTGGAATGTTGGCATCAATAAATAGTACTAGGTGAACAGTGCTATGAATGGTACCTATGAGAATACCGTATGTATTCCTTCACGCTCACTAAATAGGCTTTGACACCAGGTTATTATGATGGGCCCCACATAAGGTACACACAATGACACAAGATTTACGTGCTTCAGAAAAAATAGGCCTACGTCCATGGCGTGTGATCAGATCTACTATGAGAAAAATTGAATATATTTGTACAAGCTAACCACTCACATTTGATCCCAAAACCCAAGCCCTTAAACCCTTGTACACACCCCTCAACTCACTCTCATACAAGCTCTTACTTTATCGGATGCCTTGAACTTTGGTCTCAATGCTTCAATTGACGAGTGCTACAATTTATTTACAGGCAAATGCAACACACATTTGTTTTAAATTACTGTGCTGCTTTTTGAATGAGTTGCCTGGCATGCAAACAAATATGCATGCTTTTTTTTCTTCACCAACCCTCTATTTTTGTCCATTGTTGACAATTTAGTCAACAATGGTGGCTTGTAAAAGGAGACCACATAATCCTACAGTTTTCACCTCACTCATGTGACTAAAGTTTGACGACATTGCCCATTTTTCAAAACATCGGATGAAGGTGCAACGCAACGCTTAAGGGGAATGCTATAGTATTTATGCTTATATTCTCATGATTTATTTTGATCTAAGATCTAACAAACCTTATATTGGTTACCAAAGGCACCCTCTTCCTTTACTCGAGCTTGGGACCATTTATGTAAAAGGTAGATACTAAACACAACAAGTAGAGTTAATGGCAAGCATGCAACCAAGGGATTAAAATTTTAGCGGTTGTGTGAGTTAATAAAGTTGAATAGCAACAAACAACATACCGTGTGGCAATGATTTCCCAAGGATGGATAACACTTCCTCAAGAAAATATTGACATTGCAAAAAACTTTTTCTATATATCTCACATTCTTCTATGATGCCAGGTGCACTCTCCAAACAGACTTTAACAGCCTACAAAATAAGAAACTAGCATGGATGTTAATATTTTATTTTATTTTTTTATAGGAGATAGAGCTCAACATGGATGTTGATATCAAAACAAAGGAAAGGCCCACCAAAAAACAAAATGTTGATCGAGTCCAACTAAGCCTTTCTACAGTGAAGTTGATAGTTAAAGAAAATGAAGACATACTACTCAGGAAAAAATTACCAAAGTGGTGTTAGAAAACTAAGGCTCACACAAGCACATCCTTGGACAAGATGGTTGAAAAAGCAATCAACTTATGTGGTGTTTGATAACTTAATTCCATAGTTAAAATTGAATAACTCTGCATTTTTAATATTAAGTGTGCTTGATAACTAAAACTCACACCACTTAAAATTTTAAATACCTCTTGAAAATAGGCTAAAATTTTAAGTTGTATGACACCTACTTATCACTTAATGTTGAAAGGGCTACCTTAGAAATACTTTACAAACTTGTAGTAATGGATAAGTTTGACCCCCTTCTTCCAGTAAATAATTTGATCTCATCCATTTTACACTCCAAGTTTTGAACTTCCACCATCCCACAACCACCACCATGGTTGTCACTCTGTCACCACCCGTCACTACCATCACTATTTTATCATCACCACCACCACTGCCGCAACCACCCACCTTCAACCCCATCACTACCACCATATCCAACACCTTTTCATCCAACTTTTTACTCCAACTTTTCAACACCCACCATCCCACTGCCACCACTATCACTCCGCTACCAACACCACCACTCCACATTGCCGCCGCCGCCACCCTACCACCACCTCCATCCTTCGCCCCTATCCCCCATCCCCATCCCCACTCCACCATATATGCCAACACCTACTATCAACTCCACTACCACCATAAACACCTTTTACTTCGGCCCCACGATCATCATCAACACCACTACTACCACCACCATCTATCCACTTCCATTATTGCCATCAATATGCCTACCTACGACTTCACCACCCCGTTGCCACCACTAACCAACCAACCATCATCACCACCACCACCACAATGAATACAATTTTTCCCACTGCCACAACCCCACAACTACTATCACCACCACTATTGTTGCCACCACCCCACCCCATCACAATTATAGCCACCATCATCCTCCATTATCACTGCTGTCAATATTTCACCCCACTGTCACCAATCAACATACATCCACCACAACGGCCAACTTTCCTCTACAACCATCACTATCAGTCTAACCACTACAACCTTACCCCAGCCACCTAAGAAGCACAGACACGGTTAAGACACGACACGGATACATAAATACAATATTTCTCAAAAAAATAGGATACGGATACGTTGGGGACACGCTATAGATAATTGGGTTTTATATATAAAATTATATAATCTATTGTAAATATAGTGATAATGATATATTATTCATGAAAAATTATAAATATTATGTTTAGTCATATAGTGTGAATTTTTAGACCAAAACACCATATTAGTTAATAATTATCAATTTTTTTGTTGACAACGTGTATCCAACATATATAATTTAAATAATTGCTATTATTTTCGCAATTCCTCTTTTTTAGAACTTTTATGCATCATTTACTTTTATTATTATATTTTGATTACAATTTTAACATGTCTAGTGTTGGTAATTACATGTTCTCTCATAATATAAGACACTTATTAGTCAAATTTGTAAGTTTTATTAATCACTTGTCAGTACAGTTTATTGTTTATGGTGTAAAAAAGTGTCAGACACTCCACCAAAGAAATGTCGGACATATGTCCGAAATTAGTATTTTATAATTTAAGTATGGACACAGATAAAAGAGTATCGAACACATGTCTGAGAGTATCCAAAGAGTGTCGGTGTCCAACACTGATACGTCACCTTCTTGAGAATGCTAGGGCTTCATAGCCATGGAGGTGATAAATTGTAAGGGTAGTAGCAATGATAGTTATGGTTGGGTGATGAAGGTGGTGGGGTGGTTGTGGTTATAGTGATGTTAGAGAGATGGTGGTCATGGTGGTGGTCCTAGAATAAGTGACAATCGATGTTGGTGGCGGCGGAGTTAGACAAGGTAGCAATGGGGTTATGGAGAAGGTGATGGTGTGGTGGTGGTAGAGGCGACAATGATGTGTGTCTGGAAGTGCTGGTGAATTTGGTGATTGTGAAACTATAATGATGGTGGGGATAGGGATAAGGTAGTGACGGTGAGATGGTAAAAGAGAAACAAAATTACAAGAATAATAATTTCTAGACTTTCACTTATATTTGTCAACCATTTTAATTTAATTCAGTACTTAAATTTCAGTGGATACTAAACAATTTTTGGATTAAAAAATTGTGTATTTAGCATTAAATTCATTTAGCGTTCAGTTTTCAATACTCAAGTTTTAGTTTTATCAAACACCACCTTAGTTATCCATTGATCAATGCATTTCATTATTGTGTAGATAGGCCATTAAAGTATTCATATATATAACCTTCAAAGAAGCAACTTAGGTACTAGAGTTTAACAATAATAAAAATAACAATCATGGTGTTAATAGACATTGATCTTCCTTTTTTCTTTAACTTGTATCTCCTACATCAAGCTTAAAGTAATTGCATATAGAGTTGTACCTCATAAGCACAGAAAAGCCCAAGATTGTCAAGGCAACATAAAATCTTTGCATGGCACTTGGACAACCTCTTCTGCAGTGTCTTGTGTTTGTCATCTATATCTCCGTAGTGAGTTGGCAATAAGGCTTGTAACTCGAGTAAAGTATTATCAAACTGTTCAACACAATGAAGGCAAGGGTCCGGTGAAGGGCAGAAACTTCTATTATAATGCAAGTTTGCACATCAAAATACACATATGCATACAGAAATTTTACTCCTTAATTCAAACCTAGATAAACAGATAACTTCACACCCACACTCTCAGTAATAACTTTGTGCATATGTCCTAAGAACCATTTGTGAGTGTGCACATCCATGAACTCAAGTATATTCACCTTCAACCATGAGGATTCCAAGTTTGCTTTCAAATCCAAACTCAAAGGTGTTGGATCATAAAATCTGTAAATTTCCTTTGCAGAGGGAATGAATTCATCCAGTTCTGTCTTGTTCTCAACCGTATAAACCTGACTAAACAAATAGCAAATATTTATGCACAACAGCCAAGAACAATACCCATGAAACCCAGATTTACTTCGACCAAACTAAAACTTCCACGGAATAGAATCCACAAAAAATTACCTGGGAATCCAAGAGGCTTTCAAGTTCCGATATTTGCTCCTCACAGTCTTCAGTGGATGACACACCTGATGTGCTAAAGCATATTAAAATATTGCATATCATAACTCCTACTATTGCCTTAGGTATATATCGCACAAACATGAAATAAATGGCAAAACTCACCAAGCCACTACAGTAAAAATGTTAACCAAAAATGAAAACAAAATCAAAAGAGAAAAAATTACCCAAACATCAAGAGACTTCACAACGAGCAAAAATGTGAATGAAAATCTCGCATACCCACAGAAATATTAGGGACTGAAAGGTGGGCTGATAAACTCATTATGAAGTACGGTATCTGATTCTAACTAACTCAAAGTTGAATTAATAGCCTCTAAATTTTGCATATACTGATATGACTTGATCAGTCCAACAAGAGAACTCTTCAATTTAACCTACTATGTTCTATGTTCAGTTTCCACATCCAGATTGGGTCAACTCTGAGTAGGAAAACAAGAACCCACACAGTACCATCGTATGTTGGTACAGTTGATAAACTCATTATAAAGTACGGTATCTGATTCCAACTACCGCAAAGTTGAATTAATAGCATCTAAATTGACAACTACTGGTGCGACTTCATCAATACAAGAAGAGAGCTCTTTAATTTGACCCACCATCTTCTATGTTCATTTTTCACATCCCGATTGGGTTGACAATAGGTAGGAAACAAGAATCCACACAGTATCATCATAAGTTTGCACACCAACAAAGCACCACAATCCATACGCAAATGCATACATGCATGCAGTTTCACATATATGCTTTAGGATCTTAGTTGTGTTGGCTGATTTCGCAAGTCAAATTGTAACAGTCTTAGTTTGAGTTCCAAGTCACCATGTCCAATGGTCATAATGCACAAGATTGAAGACCGAATATGTCAAGTCTTGAAGAAGGAGAATGAAGCTACTTTTCTACATTTAGAATTATATCCTTGCTATCTATCACTTTAGATGAGGTGTGACTTAGAGACCTACTGAACTTAGCATGATTTTAAACTCAAGTTAAAATTGGAAGTAGAACTAGGATTTTTATCTTTGTAGCATGACCCTTGTAGTGCAACACTTTGAGAGTGATGGTATGGAGCCTAGTTGAGTAATACCCCTTGATACACAAAAGTTTGAATTGAATTCAATCTGGATTGTTCAGTCCAGTAGCCAACGCTCGCTTAGGCTGGATCAATTTGTCGAGATTTTGCAGATTCAGTTTTGTAATTGGACTTGAATTGAGTTCCAATATAAACAAAAAATGGCTTTGCATCGGGTTAAGGGCCTGAAAAGTGAAAACTGCTAAAATACATGGAAAAATATTGAAAGAGCCGTCTCTAGCTTTCCACAACATTCAGCAATCTACTTGGAAGAACTCTAGGATTTTAGTTGCCCACCAAATACCAAGATCTTTGTTCTTTGTAAATGAACTACCCGGTAGCATCCAAACAAACTTTCAGAGATTTTTGGATGGCTTGGGAGGATTCTGCAGCAGACTTTGAGGAGGGAATTCCTTGAACAAAGCGAATTGTTGATTCAATTTGTGGCGTGTCCCTAGAAGCGTTCAAAGCTTGCTGAGAATTTAATGTCTTGTAACAAGGTTGAAGCATCTAGTAGAGTGGACTTTAAACTAGGTCCCTTAATTTTTTCCCAGTTAGGTTTCCCACGCAAAAAAGAGGCACTTGCATGCTATTTTTGTCTTGCCACGTGATTGATTTATATTGAATTGAATCAAACAAACTTATATTAATTTCACACAATCCACAATGGGTAAGTCATAAGTTTTAAACTACTTGTAAATTCTGCATAGAGTGCAATAAAACCTATTCGACCCCCCTCTAGTCATCCAGTACACTTGCTTCGCATATAACAGAACAATCCTTACTATCATATGTCGTAAACAAGATTTCCAATTTCAAACATTTTTTATTTTATGATAGTAAACAAAAGTGTGTTACAAATAAAGTAGTGTAATGGTACAATGAGAGGAAAAAAATGGTCCTCCAAGAGATAGAATCGAAACAAACTAAACGCAACATAGGAAAGAGAAAAGAGAGAGAACGTGGCTATACATCAACCCACCTCACATTTGAGCCCAATAATCTTTAATCAAAAAAAAAAAATCCTTTCAATTTCCAGGTTCCAATTATATCTATCTCGATCAAGATAACCAACAAATATGGTGGAGCTCTCCATCATTGAAATCGAAGGCCAATATGTTGAAGCTCTCTCTTTGAATGACGTCGAATATGGGGAGTGAAGTCGACAAATTTTGAGTGAAAACATCTAGTTCATGTTCTTCAATGATGATGAAACCGGTGGCAACCATTTATGATGATCTAATTCGTATAGGTGAGCAAAGTCATTGATGAAGCTCACATGATGTAAAGAAATATGTATTAAATCGATATATATATTTTAAGGATCTAATCAAATGCTCGGCTAGGAGACAGTTTACTGAGGCTACAGTTTCAAGACATTTTAAGGATCTTTGTCACTAATCATATGCTAGGGCAAGGGACATAAGTACTAAGCCTGTTGATAAAGTACATTTTCCTGATCTTTGTAACAAGCTTAGCATGCCAGATGTCATTGCTCCAGCTTAAGGGAGAGCTTTGGGGTATTTCCGTAATTTCCTTTCTTTGTGTTAGTCTATAAAAAGAGGACAATCAATATACTAGTGCATGTCTAGCACATTATATTCCATCATTTGGTCTCTCAAACAATCCTCAAAAAAATAAACTTTTGTATTAATATATTTTCATTATTAAATCAAGGTGGTTGCTCTTTCAAGATTTATCAGTTACTAAAAAAACAGTAATAACAGATGGAATTGGGGCATACCAAACCAAATGACCAAACTCAACAAAGGCCAATTCCATTTGAGGGCTTTGCTTGGTTCCATTTAACCCAGAACTACTATGGAGCCCACTTATATTCCACAACTCAAAACAAGCATTGCATGAAATTTATCTTAAATTACTTCCAAATTATCTGGATATGTCAAGCCCTCATGATGAATCTTAACTGTTCCAATTTCCACGTATCAAGCATGGCATGGTTTAGGTTTCTACAATATATTTTTCTAGAAATCTTTCACTATGTTGGCCAATATGAGTTGCATCGTGTCAAAAGATATAACAATAGAAGCAAAGTGAAGAGATAAACAGAGAGAGAATTGAAGTGAAAGCTGGCATACAAATCAGGCCCTAACTTTAAGCCTCCCTATGCAAAAAAAAAAAAAGGATCCTCGTAATGCAATCTAAATTGGCAAAGATAGAAATATTTTTATCAAACTATAGAGCAATTTACTTGTGGTCCTTGACCGCGGTTATGGTTGTTAGTATCGTTCAATAGGTATTTTTGATACATTTAGATACATGAAAAAAATATGTATTGCTTTAAGTGTATCGGATTTGCACTGTTATTGTTATGGACCGTACGAGACAATTTGTACAAGTCATCCCATACAGGACGAAGCAATTCAAATCTTTTATTTTGGGATTTTACTCTTTAAATGGCACCGTTTCACACGAAAATATTTTTTTCCAAACACTATGTAGTGAAACGACGTCGTTTCACTATCTAGGGTTTTAAAAAATACAAGTCTTCTTTTTATGTTTGTTCTATCGCAAGAGCAAATAGTTAGATTTTTCAAAGTATTCTCCTTTGACTCATCTAGATGTTGGACCTAGAAGTCTTTAAATTTTTATATTAATAAATTATGTTGAAAGAAGATGCGCGTTTCAATATATGTTTTAACAACTATGATCGCAGTAACCTAGGAATTAGGAACCTAAAAAGTGAGAAGTTATGATTCTAAATATAAAGCTTGACTTTTCATGGTTATATCATGTCAAATGAGATTGGACATGGGATTTATGAAAAAATATGTCATTAAAATTGTTAGAGAATCCAACTCAAAACCAATTGTCAACAGGTGAAGGTACCCTTTAACCATTCGAGCTAAGATTACAAGCTCTCTTTACCCACTCTTTATGAACCTATGAAGCATGGATACTTTCAAGAAGGTGGTGTATCCGTGTCAGACACCGACACTTCTCGACCACTCTTGCACACATGTCTGATACTTTTTTATCCGTGTCCATAATTAAATGACAATTTTTTGACACCTTTTTGGTGACATGTCCGATACCTCTTTTGACCATGTCTACTACTAAACAATAAACATGCGTTGAGATGTAATTAACAAACCTTAAAAATTCGCTTATTAAGTATTTTATACTATAATTACCAAGACTAAACACGTTACAGTTATACACAAAATATAATAACAAAAGCAAAAGATATATAAAATATTTAAAAAAGAGCAATTGAGAAAATGAGAGCAATCATCTAAATTATATATGTATAGTACACGTCTACGAAAAAATTGATGATTACTGATAATTATAATGTTAGTATAAAAAAATCACACTAAATGACTAGAGATCACATTTACTTATCATACTATACTGAATTGTTTTTGAATAATATATCATTATCATTATATTTGTGATAAATTATATAATTTTAAAATATAATTATCTATAACGTGTCTGTGTCCTACTTTTTTGAGAAATGTCGTGTTTGTGTATCTATGTTTGAGAAATGCCGTGTTTGCATGTCCGTTTTTCGTGTCTATGCTTCTTAACTATGAAATATGGATCCTTATTCAAGGTCGACATATTTGTCTCCACCCCCGATCTCCTCTGTCCCACTCCTTGTATACTCTCGTCGTCAGAGATCATCGCCTAAGGTGCCCTATCGTCTTCTAATCCCGGTCCCTCAATTACTTCTGGCTCTTTACACATTGTTCTTCGTAAAGGTACTCACTCTTGTATTACTAACCATCCTATTACTCATTTTGTTTCTTATGATGTCTTATCTCCTAGTTTCTCTTATTTAATATCTCAACTGTCCATTGTTTCTATTCCTAAGATATTACAAGTTGTGTTATTTGATTCAGGTTGGAGGAAAGCTATGAAAGTGGAGATAAATGTCTTACATCATAATGGGACTTGGGCCCTTATTCCCTTACCCCCGGTAAAAAGACTACCGTTTGTCTATGGGTGTATACAATCAAATTTAATCCTAATGGCTTTGTTGAACACCTTAAAGCCCAACTTGTTGCCAAGGACTTTACTCAAGCCTATGGCATTGATTATAAGGACACATTTTCTCCTGTTGCCAAAATTTTTTTTGTTTGTGTATTGATTTCTTTAGCTGCTAATATTGATTGGCCTTTGTTTCAGTTAGATGTTAAAAATATTTTCTTACATGGTGACTTGGCTAAGGAAGCATACATGGAGCAGCCGCCTGGGTTTTTTTGTGCAAAGAGAGTATCATAAGAGTGTTTATCAACTAAAAAAATCTCTGTATGATTTAAAGCAATCACCGAGAGCATAGCTTTGTAAGTTTTCAGAGGCAATTTTAGAATTTAGTCTGCTTAGATGTCAGATAGTCCATTATGTTTTCCACGGACAAACTGATGTTATGTTTTCCACGGACAAACTGATGTTGGGTACATTATATTAGTTGTTTATGTGAATGATACTGTAATTAGTGGTAATGATTCTAAGGATATTACACAATGGAAAATCTTTCTACAAAATTGACTCCATATTAAAGACCTAGGAAAACTCAGGTACTTTTTGTATATTAAAGTTGTCAGATCTAAGCAGGGTATTTGTTTGTCTCAAAGGAAATATGTATTTGACATAGTCACTTAGGAAACAAAAATATTTCGACGTGTTTCGAAAACGTTTCAACTCATTTCGGAAACATAATGAAAAAATAAAAAATTTAAAAATTACTTTTTAAAAATATTGATCGAAATATATCAAAATATCTTAAAATACCGTAAAAACATTCTGAAATAATTGTGCAAATGAATTAAAATATTATAAAATATCTCAAAATATTATGAAATCTCTCGAAATATTAAACTTTTGATTCTATCATTGATTCATTTCAGTCTCCTTAGAAACGTATTTCGACCGCTTCGAAACGATATTTTGATCCTTAGAAGCAGTTTCACTCGGTGGAAGACCAATCGATATTCCTATGGATCCGAACCAAAAGTTATTGATAGATAATGGTACACTATTTGAACATCCAGGTCGGTATCGCAGGTTGGTTGGGAAGCTAAATTATCTTACTATTGCCCAACTAGATATTGCATATGCAATTAATGTCTTAAGTTAGTTATGAGATGCCCTAGAGTACTACATTAGGATGCAGTCATTTGCATTCTTCAATACCTTAAATGTGCTCCTGAACTAGGGTTGTTGTATCGAGCCAATGGACATCTTACAATGGAAGGCTTTATAGATGTTTATTGAACTAGTTCTCCCTCAGATCAAAGATCAACTACTGGGTACTGTACTTTTTTGGGAGATAATGTGGTTACGTGAAAAAATAAGAAACAAATAGTGGTAGCACTATCGAGTACCAGGGTTGAGTATAGACTGTTGGCACATACCATTAGTAAGCTGACATGGTTACTACACTTTCTTTGAAAATTTGATTTTGCAATCTTACTTTTTTTACAGTTGTTCTATGATAATCAAGCAACTCTTTGTATTAGTGCTCATCTCGTATTCTATGAGAGTACCAAATATATTGAAGTTGATTGTCATTTTATTCGAGACAAAATACTAAATGGAGCTATTGCAACACCATTTGTGAAATTGAAGATCAGCTTGCAAATATATTCACAAAAGCATTGAGTTGACCTTGATTTACAGCCATTTATTCCAATCTTGGATTATATGATATATATATTCCAAACGGGAAAGTGTTGAGAGTATTATTATTATATTGTTATTATGGTTATAAGAAATATACACCTCTAAGGGTTTACTAGTCTTTTGTGTTTTCTTAGATAACTATAAATACAAGTTGAGAGTGAGAGGTAGGGTAAGATTCCAACTTTTCTGCATCCTCTCTTTGTGTTCTTTCAATTTCTTATTTACCAAAGCTAACACAAACCATAGCCTGCCAGTGCACAATGCATGTATTTTGGGATTTGGGTAGACCTATTGGCCTCACATCACATGTGAAAAGAGCATAAAATGAAGTAATTACACTATAATCTCGACAACAAATACTTCTAAGCAAACCAATTAGTTAAATATTACTTCTAATTCCTTAAATCAATTGTGTTCACTTTGTGGATATATTATAATAAGACGATACATACCTTTTTGAAATCAAAATTAGCAAATTTTTCTTATTATTGTTAAAGAATAACTAAAAACCATAATTATCAAGTTGATAGATAATGTGAAACATATAAAATACATTTTATTACAAACGTATCATTTCAGTAACTATATCCTACTTTTTATGTCTAGTAGTATCGCCTCATCTGCATCACATCGTACCCGTATCCCATTTCTGTATCCATGCTTTCGAGCTCCCACTCCTAGAACCCAACCTCGCACGAGGGACAACCCAACGAACCAACAAATATGTCAAAACAGAAATTCAAATTGGTAAAAGTCTTGACCACTGACCTTTCAACTCAAATCCAATTGGCAATAAGTGGAGAGTCCACTTAACTTTATAAACTCACCTTGGGTTATGTGACATCTCATTACAATTATAACAAGCAAGCGACAAGCATCTCCCAATACCTAGAACAAATCGCGTTGCGAGTGTTTTATAGTTTGTTCGGTATCAAACTTATTCCAAGAGTGATTTGCAACCCAAATGCCATCTAATATAAAAAGTTGGCACACATCCTATTAGGAATAGGGCAATAAATATATGAAGGACATCTATCCCTAAAAAAAGGACGAACTACAAAAAACAGGGTAAGAATCACAAGAATCCACTTGCATAAGGAAAGGTTCAATTCTCGTTTCTGCTTTCTTTTTCTTCAACCTTTTCTCTGTTTGTTCTCCTTCACACTTTATGAGGGGCTAAGTGTCTTGCATGGAGAAAATATGCAAAATGAGGTCACAAAACTCATAACCTTGGAAGTGCAAAAGAGAACAGAGAAAAGGTTGAAAGCATAGAACACTTCGGACTAAAATATCCAATTTATCCCCAGCTTAAAATGTATGAAAGCAGTACCCAAAAAGAAAGCACTAACACACATTGGGCATAACACCTACCACACTCCTCTAAGGACAATTCTAACAAATTCTACAACCAAAAGTTTGTGTGCGACAATAAAAGAACGACAGAGAACAGAGCAGATTTTAGCCATTTTTATTTTGATACTCAAAGGAAAAAAACAAAAACAAATCTTACCTTTTCTAATGACAGGGGATGCTGTCATTCCAAAAATCCTTGGCTTCTTTTTAGAATTACTATAAAATTCCTTCACAATACAAAACAGTAATCAACAACGTATTTTTGAAATATTAGCAAGTTATGAGCATGCATTTATAAGACAAAAAGAAATATAACATTAACAAGATGATGCAGGAATAGCAAGTCAATGACTTTAAAAACGCGTGGTGGTGTTTACCTTCATAATTTTTGCATAAGGATGGTTACCAGTAGCACGATGACATTCATCAATTATAATGAAGCACACTATTTCAAATCTCAAAAATGCCTTCCTCAACGCATCCAGCAAAATTTGAGGTGTCATAACCAGTACCTATAAGATAAGAATACACTACATTACTATTATGGTTAAGTTGTCACTAACATATAACTTGAGAATACCAGGTGTTGTCAAGGATTCTTTGCAGAACTAGACATTTTGAGAATGTTTCACAAGATACTGCTTCTTTCACCCCTAAGCCATTAAAATGTATCAAGATATGATGAGATATCAACATAAATCAGCTTTTCAGACAATCTATTTTTCTGGATCAAAAAAATCAGATGAACTACAGGACATTAAGTGCACAAATTGAAGATACTATGCAAATTAAACAGGAAATTAGCTGCACACATTCAAAACACAATGTAAGATCCTTTTACAAATGTGTTGCCAACCAATAGGGATGACAGCTTCAGTATCCATATGTAGAGGGCAATAACTGAAACTAGCAAATAGTATGCAGGACAATTTCAGTACAGACAACAGATGACCATTCAAATACAAGCATCACACTTGTGTTTCACAAGAGAAAAGTTTAATGACATGACAGCGTGTTAAGATGATGCAACTCACATCATGTTCATTAATTTCCTTTTCCCAAGACATGATGTTCCACTCATCAACACCTTTGGCTCCATAGTATTCTCCCACGTGAAGATTTGTATTTACCTTTATAACCTCAAATTGCTGCACATGGAACTTCCTTATCAACAGGTGCAGGTATAATAAAACCACAGAGAATTGAACTACAATCAAGAAATCTGTGTTTAGGAATAGGAACAACCATAAAATGCATAGAAAAAGAACTTGAAACATTATCAATCAAGCCCAAGTTTCAACGAGTTACCCGATAGAAAGAGTCATTTCCCGGGATTAATTAAATTAAGGAAACAATCAAGATCAAAAAAGAGTAACTACTGACCCAATTAATATGGTTAAACAAGAAAAGGAAACAAAGTGCATATGTTTAAGAAAGCAAAAAGGACATACCTGGTGTACAAGATGAACAGTAGGAGCCAAGAATATGATCAACTTTTTCTGATTGCCGATCTTGAGAGATTGACCTATGTCCTTGATCATCATGACAGCTATTATCGTCTTACCAGCACCGGTGTCCAAGACGGCGATTGTGTTACGCCGCATTGCAACTTCAAAGACTTTCAATTGGTAACTAATAAGTACATTGATCGATACACAATGTGAGTAAGACTAAATGCCATATATATCAAGAACATATACAGAAATTATCAACTGTTTGTATATGAAAGGGTTTAAACAATAAATGGCATACTCTCTGGGTATGAAGTTAGAAGGTGCGCGAGGAGTGTCCACGTTCATATCTGAAGCCAGCGGCTTTGCATTCATGGTTTCAAAGCTTCTCTTCGAAGGGTTTACACCATCCGGTGAATGCATTGTGAATAAGAACAGGAAACGCTCTTAAACACCTGAAGAAAACTCGGGTTTAACTTCAGAAGATTCCTCTCTCTCTCTCTCTCTCTCAATATATATATGTGTGTGTGTGAATGAATGCCTATCCCTGGATTAATCGCAGTTAAGCCCTAAAAGGTTAGCAACGAGAATGGTGTGAACTGTCAAGGAATCAAATATATTCCTTTTCTCATGACACTCCTAATTTCATGCTTTCCTTTTTACTCTGTACATAGAGAAGAAGGCGTTACAGACTTCACGCTTCAATGGATTATTCACTTTCAACGGCCGCTCGACACAGCTGGTAAGCAAAATTTTAAATCAGAAAAGGAAAAGAAAACAAAAGAATGAGGAAAGTCGGTCAGAGACGCAGGAAAGTAAATCAGTAAATTGGGTCTTGGGCTATGGTGAGGTACTTGAGTTAGGAATTTGGGAAGAGGAGTCTGTCGGGCTAATAAGTAACTCTGGGCCGCGCCTAAACGCACGTGGATTAGAGGCATTAATTGGTGTTTACGTGTGTACTCCTGAATATGGGCATGGAAAATGGGAGAATTTTACGGTACCGAAAGGGGCACTGTACCACCAATTACAATCATTTAAGATTAATTTATAATTTTTTTGAGGTATAAATTATAATTTTTTTGAGGTATAAGTTACAATTTTTAAAGGTCAAGTTACAACTTAAAAGGGAGTTACAATTTTTAAAAGTCAAGTTACAACTCAAAAAGGAGAAGTTACAACTATTCAAAAAAAGTTCATGATAAATCATGTGTCTGCGATCGATCATAGACTTTTCCTGAACAATTATAATTTCTCCCTTTTGAGTTGTAACTTTACCAAAAACGTAATAACTGGCGGTATGGTACCGTAGTCGGTACTATAGAATTTCCCAGAAAAAATTCCCACAATAATGGTGTTTGTACTGCACCACCATGATTTTTGGTTCAAGGTGAGAGCCAAATTTTTTTATCATTTCATATAATTAGTTGATGCACAAGTATATTGCACGTAAATAATTTTGAATTATAATCATAATTTTTTTGTTGGGATACGATTTTCTATACTAATATAATCAACAAAGTTTTGGTAGGTACTATTATTTTAAATTTTTTCTTGGAGTTTTAGCAATTAAATTATGCGGTTCTAATTGCTTTGTTGAATACCAAGTTAGCTTTTAATATTCATTTTATGAGTTCTTTGACTCGTAATATTGTTTAAGAGAATGATCGCACGTGATATCCTTCACAAAAACTACCTTAAAAAGTGATAATTGAGAATGAAACACTAAGGGTCTGTTTGGTTTGCATCTCAAAAAAATATATCCGAAAATTATTTTTGGAAGAATTTTAAGAAAGTGTTTTTAAAAATTTTTAGATTACAAAACATGTTTGATTATATATTTTTTAAAATAGTTTTAAAAAACAAAAATTATAAAATATGTTTGGACAATAATCACACTTCCCACCTTTCTCTTTATTTCCCCTCCCTCTATCTCCACAAAACACACTCACATACACATACATAGACACACACACAAACGCATACACAGGCACACACACACACGCAAAAAAAATACACATACATGCAGACACACACACATACACAAACCCACACATTCCTGTGCCTAAGTCTTTGTATAAACACAGATCTGTGTAGATATACAGTCTATAGTTATTACAGAAGACAGAGAAAGAGAGAGAGGCAGGTCTGAAGCGCAGGGGAGAGAGAGGGGAGAGAGGCAGATATGAAACACAGTGAAGAAGACATTGGACAAAGTAGGGAGACAAAGAGAGGAAGGAAAAAAAGGAGGAAGCCTTTTGCTGCTAAGGAGACTTGAAGTACAGACCTCATTTAAATTTCTAAGCCAACGTCTTTGTGAAACCCGAAAAAATTTGAACTTTTTCTTAGAAATGACAAAAATGGTAATTTGTCATCCTAATACGTATTTAAAATATTCATGTTTTAGACCTCGGATGAGGAAATGGAGTTCACCGTTGGATTTTTATCGCAAAATCTAGTCACCCTGTCAAATTTTGTTTAATTCTGAGATAGTCGAATTTTTACACGTCGTTCGAGGCGACTGGGAGGCGAATGACATTTTAAAGGTCCCAAAAAATAAATTTTTTAAAAAATTTCTTAAAATTAAGTTAAAGTTCCAATAAAATTTATTTGAACTTAAACCGGGATGTAATGAATCGTTTCGGAGCGAAAAACAGATCCGAACAAAAAAGAACACTTAGCGCGACGAGGGCCAAGTCTTTAAAACTATAAATAGGGGTAAAATATCTGAAATATCAGCTTTTTCCTCCCCTATGGCCGGCTGTATTAGAGATTAAGAGAGAAAAGAGAGCAAAGAGGGAAAAACCAAAAATCTTAAGCATTCTCCTTCGATTTCCTGAAGATCCGTCGGTCGGAATCGCTCGAGCCAAGAATTAAAGTTGCTCTACGCGACAAGGGCTACACGTGAGTACCAAGAACGAAGATTTTCACCGAAGATCAAAAGGCTAGATTTTAGAGAAATCAAAGTCTTGAGCCTTTGGGGGTGTTCTTGGGGGTTCTAGTATTCATTTACGCTTCAAGAGGTAGGATTTTCCTACTTTGGTTCATTCTAACCTATGGTATTCATAGGAGAGGGGGTTTTAGCATGTGGGTTGTATAGCCTTTGCATTAGGTTAGTGTTTTGGTGGATATGAGAAATGGATGGAATATACATTCTATCTTGAAGTGGTTTTGTTTCTTGTAATATGTGGTTACTTGAAATGGTTTGTAGAAATCACTTAGTATGATTTCTTGAGCTATGTGGTTACTTGGAATGGTTATGTGAATATATGACTCGAGTGCCTTTAAGGTGTTTGATAAAATGTCTTTGTGAAATAAAGTGTGTTAATTGCATGAGATTATGCTATAACATGCTTGGATAATGTGGTAATGTGAAATCAGATGCGTATGATATGATTTATGATTGAAATGTATGTTGATATATGCATGTTTTGATATTTATTGACATTGTGACAAATATAGTATTTATATGCTTAGGATATAATTTATCATGGATATGTTGAAAATTATTCATATGTCATTCATAGCATATTAAACATTATGTTGTTGTGCAATGGTGCATCACATTGTATATGCACGAAAACATGACATCACATTCATGGGCATGAATCATAAGTGTGGGTGTGTGTATGCGTGGTTAATCAAACACCATTCTTGGTGATTGATGGGTGGACTCGGGAAAGTTGAGTTGAAAATTCGAATGAGTCACATGGTTGCATGAAAGAAAAACTTGTGTCGGGTATAGCAAGAAGGGGTAGATTCCTTTCTCAGGTGCAAGACCCGGCAACTTGGTTATACACTCCCTTGTGGTGAAATTTCGAAAAAGTGTAGTATGGTGTACGAAACCGGCGGTATAAAATCCAAAATTCGTTGTCCAACAAGACACAAGATTTTGATTTACAAAGTACTCATACAATGAGTAACACCCATCAATGATTTGGTTTTATAATAAAACAACTTTTATTTCAAACAATCATTTGGTGGATTTTTCGTTAATTGACGGATTCAGTATACCTTGGCATTACATTGTGTCGTGGGAGTCGATGATGACTTGGGTTTAAGTGCATGAGTGAGTATTATCTCATTTCATGGCATGACATGATTACATTCCACATTTAATGCATATTCTTGTATGGAATGATTGTTAAATGTTGTTTGTTGCTTATACACACCACATATGCACCTAAGGTGGAGAGTAGCCTCTATAGGGATTATTCTATTGGGCGTTGGCTCACCCTATACGGGAAAATATTTCAGGTGGAAGAGATACACCAATGTATGGCTCCACTTTGGACCCTCATGTTTGAAGAAAGTCGAATGTAGCTTTATTTTGTGTTAATGTAAAACATTTGTGGAAATAATGTTTTGGGCATGTAATCTTTTGCAAATAATTGTAATAGAACTTATATAGACTATTATTAAACTAACCTTGCATATGTTGATATAAATATGGATAATTGGACCCGGTGTGACCAATGTTTACTTATAATTGGACCTGGTGTGGTCATTGTTGAATATTGGATCTCGGATGAGTCTTGTTATTATATGATTGCACAGGTTGAGTTTTTGGTAAAACTTCTCGTACAAAGGAGACTCTGCCCAAATTTCGTCAAAATTATTGTTCCCGGTAAATGGAGCATAATAGCGTGATATCGAATTACTCGATATCCATAGGTATTCCGTGGGTTGATGGGTAATCAACGGACTCGGATTTTGGGGTGTCACAGTCTCTGTGCTTTCAAAATTTATAAAAAAATGTATCAAAAAACAAGTTAGCCTTGTTTTCTGTTTTTGTGCTCCAAATCTCATCTTTCCCAAAAATTTGTGAACAAAAATGCTTAGCAAACAAGTTTTCGGTATTTTTGAAATTTTGAGAACAAAAAATAGTTTTCAAGAACAAAACCAAATATGCCCTAAGCTTCTTTTCTAGTATTGTGCATGAAATTTGTAATTCAATGGAAAGCCTCCTTATAATATTTGGAACACATAATCATTTATTTGATATATCAAGGGCACAAAAAAATATATATCAAGACTCATCTTGATGATTGCAATGAAAAATGCATGGGTTCTTATGCTGGCCAAATAAAGCAATGAGCTTAACTTTTGTCAAATGCACATGAAATTTTAGAAGAAAATTAACTAATCTCATATAAATCCAATATTCATTAGTTGTATGGTATGACTCATTCAAAATGCAACTGAGTAACATCAACAACTGATAACTGTTCATCATCCTTTAAGAATAACAGTGAAGAGGACACTTATTTCAAGGTAAAGTTGGAACAAACCACCTTAAAAGTCATTAAACAACATTTCTGATGATAGAAAACAATAACAGTGACCATCACGAAGAGCTTCATTTTTGTAATTTTCCTATTTAATTAACCAAAGACAAATATTGTACTAACTTGAAGAGAACCCTC